GACTTTAAATAGAAGCTGCAGTTGATTTAAATAGTTATTCGGTTTCTCAAAAGGTTTGTATTACAATTTTCGTATCCTTTCCAAATTATTTTTTTCTCACATACTGCTGATAAAGTAGGGCTTTTAATGTTATTTGGATTTTTATGCCCACTTGAGAAGTCATTGCGGTAGTTCCTCCAAATAGTATCGTCAAGAAAAGGAAACTTACGGATCAGAAAAATTTCAGTATCGTTAATGGTTGATTGAGTTTCCAAAAATTTGTTAGCGAAGTAGTGAAAGTGGAAAATTTATGGTTACTTTGAGGTTAGTGTTGTTTGTTTGTTTATTTTCTGTAGCTAATTCCGCAACAGTTTGGGATCACTAATGGGTAACGCTGAGGAAGAGGCAAATAAGGGGATTTAATTTTATTAATGTTTGAGCTGGGGACGTATGTTTCTGGCTTTAAAACGGTTGCTGTTTTGCCAAAAATGGTCCTAGAATTAAACCTGGACAGTATAGACTGCAAGTGTTTTTTTATGTTGTTTAAATCTGTGCATTTCGCTATTCAGGTTTCTGAGTCTAAAATATTGCTGCCAACGAATAATAGTAAATTTTTTTGATAAGTAATTTTGATTTATCGCTAAGTGTTCCACAGGAGTAGGTATTTTAGTTGCCAAACTGGCTGGTTAACTTGTCAACAAAATTTTGCTGAACAGATATACTTCTTTGTATTTCTCTCTTGCTTCTCAGGCTTTTATTCAAAATTTGGTAACACGTGGAGGGTACCAACACTACTGGTCGCATCATAACCTAGCATATTTTTTTTTTAATGGTGCCAAATTCTGTTTGAAAAGGAAACTATATGGAAGTTAAGCAGTTAAAATTCAACGCAAAAAGGTCTTGAATGTTTATTAGAAGTCATAAGGCAACAGTGAATTGAAAAAAATGTTAGGAATATTACCTGTGTGGAACAAAAGTGATTTAGTTGATTGATTGTAAAAGAATTTTTTTTAGTAAAAGACGGTGAGCGTAAGAGAACTGACGACATAGGAAGCCGGATATTTGGTATGATAAAACTGTGAACTTTTAGTGCCATTGGTTTACCGCCTTCTATAGGTTTTTGGAGCAAAAGAAAAATGTTTTTGTCGATGGTACAAATAATATACGCGTTTTAGTGGGACACGTTGCGTTTCATTTGTATCATAGCTTTTTTCTGCTCTTCCATATTTTCCTTTTTCTTTTGCTTTCCTTTGTCTCCGCTTCAATGCTGACTTCCTGATCATATTTAAAGTAGTCCCAAAAAAAGAAAAAGGCTCAAATTAATCTTCCACAGTTATGATACCAT